TAATCATAATCAGCAGCAGCAGCATCCTCAACATCATCATCGTCGTCATCTTCATCATCATAATGTTCAGCATCATCATTATCATCAGCATCAGCAGTATCAGCAGCACCAGCATAAACAAAAAAAATAAAAATCATCCTCGTCATCATTATCATCGTCATCATCATCAGCATCATCATTATCCCAATACCCATACCCATAGACATACCCATACCCATCACCGTCCCCGTCCCCGTCCCCATCCCCGTCCCCATCCCCGTGCCCATCCCCATCCCCATCCCTCTCCCCCTCCCGATTCCCTCGTGCTCGCGCTGGCCCCATCGGAGGCGCGCGCGCGCGCCCGCGCCATGCTCAGCGTCGTGTCTGGCGCCGACGACTGGGAGTGGGGCAGGCCCTACGGCTTGGCGCTGGACCCGGGGCGAGGCGCCCGGGCGCTTGGCTCCACCGCGCGTGCCTGCCCGGGGCCATCCTGGTCCTGGGCGTTGCGTTTGTGCCCTCCGCTGAGCGGGCTCCTCCCTCTTCCTCCCTCGCGTTCTGTTCCTCTTCGCCTTCGTGCCTCAATTCGCTCCCAGTGCACTCCACCGCTTGCTGGACCAGCGTCTGACTGTCTCGGACCACTTGGCGCCCGCGGACTGAAAGAGTGTATGCCCTCCTCTCCCCCCGCGCTCTCGCGCTACGTCCCCGTCGGATGTCCAGCGGCCTGTTGGCGTGTCCCCCCCTCGCTCGGGAGCCTTGAGACGGGGGTCAATGCAAACGGGGGTCGGCCAGAGCGCCGGATCTTGCAGGATCCTGCAGAGCCAGGGGCGCATTGACCCTGGCTAGCGCACAGGATCCTGCAGGATCCCGCAAGATCTTGCACAATCCTGCAAGGCCTGGCTGGCCTGGGTTTGCATTAACCCAGGCCAGTGCGCCCCTCCTCGCCATCCACGCCTGGATGGTTTGCTGCTGCCGGCGCACACGGAGTCTGCGGAGATTCCCCTGAGGGCCCGGCCGCGCACGCACCAGATCCGACCTCTCTCCGCCTCGGCGCTGCGGGCGGGGCCGCCACCGCCAAAAGGTGGGCGCCCTCCTTCTTGCATGTCACGCGTAGTTCTTCACACGGCTTCGCATGGCTTCGGCACATTCCACGTTCGTCGGCTCTGGCCCGCTTTTTCTTTGCACGCGTCAGCTACGCCCTGACCTTGGGCAGGCCTCGAATCGAGATAAAGCGGTCCAGAGCCTTCCGGAACGCTCTAACGGCGTTCCAGAACGTGCTGAAACGATCGCGGCGCCCGATGATACATCTTCCAAACCCGCTTGTATCTGTCCGATGTTGTCCTGGTTCTGCCTTCGTCTTACGACCATGGCGGTCGCCCTGGAAAAGTCGCGGCGTTGGATCCGGCGGCCGGGGAGCACACAAAGTGCGGCTTCGGTTTTCCAGGGGCCGCGGCCGGGGGGTTCTGTATGCCACTCGGGGAACTGAAGGTGCCCCTGGGCCAAGGAGGAGAAGGAGGGAGGAGGAGAGAGAGGAGGAGGAGGAGGAGGAGGAGGAGGAGGAGGAGGAGGAGGAGGAGGCGGAGGCGGAGGCGGAGGAGGAGGAGGACCCGCAGAAGAGTAAGAGGAGGCGAACTGAAGGTGCCCCTGGGCCGAGGTGCCCCTGGCTGTTCGCTCCATTTTGACGCCCCTGGGGCCCTCTGGGCCTCGCAAAGGGCCCCAGGGAGACCGTGGAGGCATCCTTCGGGCACTCTGGGGGCACCTTGGGCCAGGGGCACTTCCAGCAACACCCCGAACCCTCCCTTCTCCTCGAGTGCGAGGAGGAGGAGGAGGAGGAGGAGGAGGAGGAGGAGGAGGAGGTAGGAGTAGAGGAGGAGGAGGAGGAGGAGGATGGGAGGAGTAGGAGGAGGCGGAGGGGAGGTGGAGGATGAGGAGGAGGAAGAGGAGAAGGAGGAGGAGGAGGGGAGGAGGAGGAGGAGGAGGAGGAGGAGGTAGGCGGAGGAGGAGGTAGGAGGGGAGGAGGGAGGAGGAGAGGAGGAGGAGGAGGGAGGAGGAGGAGGAGGAGGAGGAGGAGGTAGCAGGACGGGGAGGAGGAGAGGAGGAGGAGGGTGAGGAGGAGCAGCAGGAGCACGAGCAGGACGTAGGAGGAGGAGAGGAGAGAGAGGAGGAGAGAGGAGGAGGAGGAGGAGGAGGAGGCGGAGGAGGAGAGAGGAGGAGGAGGAAGGAGGGGAAGAAGTGGAGGAGGAGGGGAGGAGGAGGGGCGGAGGAGGAGGAGGAGAAGGAGAGACGAGAGGAAGAGAAAGTGAGTAGGAGGAGGAGGGAGGAGTAGGAGGAGGAGGAGAAGGAGGAGGACGAGTGAGGAGGAGGAGGAGAAGGAGAGAGGACGAGGAGGATGGACAGAGGAGGAGGACGAGGAGGAGGAGGAGGGAGGAGGAGGAGGAGAGGAGGAAGAGGAGGAGGATGGAGGAGGAGGAGGGGGAGGAGGAGGAGGGAGGAGGAGGAGGAGGAGGAGGAGGGAGGAGGCGGAGGAGGAGGAGGATGGGAGGAGGGAGGAGGAGGGAGGAGGGAGGGGAAGGAGGGAGAGGGAGAGGGAGGAGGGAGGAGGAGAGGAGGAGGCGGACTGAGACGGAGGAGGAGGAGGAGAAGGAGGAGGACGAGGAGGAGGATGAGGAGGCGGAGGATGGAGGGAGGAGAGGAGGAGGAGGAGGAGGGAGGGAGGAGGAAGAGGAGGAGGAGGGAGGAGGGAGGAGGGGGAGGATGGGAGGGAGGGAGGGAGGAGGGAGGAGGGAGGAGGAGGAGGAGAAGGAGGAGGAGGAGGAGGAGAAAAGAATAACACCCCGGGGGGCGGCCCCGGGCTGGCGCGGTGGCGGTGAGGAGGCGCCGCCCACTCGGGGAGCGGAGCAAGCGGAGGATCGCAGGGCTTCCGGGGAGCCCTGCCCCGGGGACGACGCCTCGGAGCCTCGGAGCACCCGACGGACGAGGTGTCGGAGACTTTCGGACGACGACAACGACCACCACCACCACCACCACCACGACGACGACGACGACGACGACGACGACGACGAAGCGAGCGGAGGAGGACAAGCTGGGTGCGCTCGCGCTGATATCTGACATCCTATACCCCTCCCACCCGTCCCTGCCCATTGAGCTGATGTTTTCTCTATCCGCCGCCGGTCGTCTTAGCGGACGTGGGACCCCCAAGAGAACCCCAGCTTGTGCAATGCGCAATCGGAAGAGGGGAGTGGGTACACTGGAGGAGGAGGAGGAGGAGGAGGAGGAATAAGAAAAAGGAAAAGAACAAGAAGAAGAATTAGAGGAAGAAGAAGAAGAAGGAGAAGAGGGGGTGGCGGATGAGCAAGAAGATGAGCAGGAGGAAGAAGATGATGATGACGAGGAGGAGGAGGAGGAGGAGGAGGAGGAGAAGGAGGAGGAGGGGATAAGGGTATAAGGAAGGAGGACGACAAGGAGCAGCAGCAGGAGCAGGAGCACGAGGAGTGCAAGGAGCGGGGGAGCCAGGGGAAGGCGGAGGAGAGGAAAGAGGCGGGGTGACAACAAACGAGGAAGGATTCAGAGGCACAAATGTGGCCCGCGCTGGGGCGAGAGCGCCATTCTGAACGACGGGAGCACAGCGTCGTTCCGAAAATGAGGTCAACGCTGCAGCGGGAGCACCATTTTGAAACGCCGAAACGCTCCGATTGAAAAATGAACCCCTCGTGACCCCACTTCGGGGAACGCTTCCCAAGCTGCATTGTTTGCCATTGCTTGGCATTGCTTGACGTTGTGTTGCTTGGCATCGCATCGCAAGGTTTTGCGTTGTTTTACATTGCGCGGTGTTGTTTGACATTGCTGGGCATTGCTTGGTATTACTTGGCAGTGCTTGGCATTGTTTGGCCAGCAAGGAACCAAGGCACCAAGGACCCAAGATCAAGGAACGAAGGCACCAAGAAACCAAAGAAAAACCAAGACCAATGACCCAAGGAGCCAGGACCGAGTGACCAAGGAACCAAGACAAAGCAACCAAAAAACCAAGGCAGAGGAATCCGTAGCCATTTTGGCTCAAGGCATCGTGGCTCCAAGTGCTTGCCGCTGCTTTCCCACGCCACTGTTGCCAGTGATCACTTAGATGCACCGTTCGAGGACAGTGCTGCCTCGCACTCTGGCACCTCGTGGCCGATGAGCCGTGGTACCGCCCTCTGCGCCGACCTCTACGGCGTCCTGCGCGTATGCCCCGAGGCCACCACCGCAGACCTCCGGGCAGCCTACCGAAAGGCCGCGCTCCTCACCCACCCAGACGAGCCCGGAGGCTCCCCAGAGGCCTTCCAGCTAGTCGCTCTGGCCTTCGAGACGCTGTCGGACGAGGCCGCCCGTGCGTCCTACGACCGCCGGCGCCGCCACGCCCGCGGAGAGGCCCCCCCCGACGCGCCGGGCGGCAGCCCACTGGGCGGCCGGCCGAAGCGCTGCGCGGCGGCGCAGGGGGGCTCCGCCGCCCTGCGCGCCGGCGCCTGGCCCTGCCGCGCGCTCGGCGTCGGCGGGCAGGCGGCCGCGGGAGCGGGCCGGGGAGCGGCCCCGCTGCAGGCGCGGCGCCCGCCCGGGAGCGCGCGGAGCAGCTCGAGGCGGAGGTGCGGAGGGCGGCCGAGCTGGTCTCGGAGGCGCTGGGGCAGGTGAGGGCGTGCCTGCAGGCCATGTGCGCGGAGCAGCGGCGCGCGGCGCTGGACAGCCTGGGGCGCGGCGTCCGGGCCCGGCTCCTGGCCTTCCTGCGAAGGGTGCCAGAGGCCGCAGCGCGGGCCGCCCTGCGCTCTCGAGGCGCCGTCGGGCTCGCGCCTGCCGTCGGACAGCGACGAGCAAGGCCAGCACTCTGCCACGTCCGACAGCGAAGGTGCAGATGTGCAAAGTCTGCTCCAGATTGAAGATTGGGCGCCGTGCGCCTCGGAAGAACCTGATGCGTCTGGCCACGGGCCCAAGTCCACGCGGCGGTTGGTGAGGGGCGTCGTGTTGGCGCGCAGAGAGAACAGTTATTCGTACTATGCATGCTGTTTTTTTGGAACCTGACGTTCTTGACCAAATGCCAAGAATCCGTTCAGGTTGCCCTGGACCAGCACATCCTTCTGGTGCAGATCAGGGACATGGCGAACAAACTGTGCAAGAGTGATCAGAATAAGTGCGGACCCAACACTACTGCAATTCTACGGGAGGCTTGCGACAGCGTCCTTGCGGCAAGCAATGTCACCAGAGAGGAAATAGGCATGCGATGCACGGTCAGACTATCATTTCGTGATCGTGGGATCCGGTGCGTTATCGAAACTCCAGTATTGCCCTGGGAGGAGTCGTTGGTTTGGAGAGCGAGCCTGCTCGAGGGGAGATCTGATGGCTGGCACTCCCTGCGAGCATGCTGGATCGCACTCCTGCAGCACCCAGGGTACCGGCGCAAGGGGCCGCTGAGCGCAGAGCAGGCAGCCGGCTTCGTCGACGCGCGGCGGCACATCGCAGAGCTGACCACGTCGCGCATGTCAGAGCGGGAGCAGCGGAGGATGCACAGCACAGCTTCGGGGGAGCGCGGCCGCCTGCAGTCGCTCTTCGCCCCCAACCCGCAGGGAGGGCCCGGCGCGCCCTGCGCCTCCAGGCGCGCCTGGGGTGCAGGCCGGAGGCGCAGCGCGCTCGCGCGGAGTCGCGGCGGCTGGAGCAGAGGCGGCGCTGGCTGCAGCGGATTCCGCACCGCGACGCGACGATGGATGACACAATGCAGGCGATGCCCATCGAAGAACAGAAAACGGCATAAACATAAACTTTTGGCGCTCCGCGCGGATTTCTTGGATCTGCGCTGGGACCTGGCGGCGCCTCCGGCGCCACCCCTTGCGTTCTCCGCGCGCCAGGGAGGGGGTCCGGCGCAGACCCAAGAAGAAATCCGCGCGGAGCGCCAAAAGTTTATGTTTATGCAGTTGTTCTGTTCTTCTAGCCCAACCATCTCAGCTAAGCAGCATCGGCGCGGCTCTTTTCCTGGTGGTCGCCACCGTCGCTGCCGTTGTCGTCGGCACCATCGCCCTCGTCAGAGTTCTTGTGCGAGGGCGGCCCGGACCGGACCATTACTGTTCTTACCTGGGCGACGAACACAAACGGGTCTTACGCGAGATGTCATAGCGACCTTAGGCGGTGGCTTACGCGGGCCGCCAGCGCGGCTCGCTACGCCGAGCTCACGCGGGCAGCTTACGTTCCAATGTCGGCGAAGACGACACCGTTTTTTTGACGTCGCTCTCCTGCTCCTCTTACCACTACATCCGTCGTCTGGGGTTCCCGACGACAGCTGTGGTGTCAGGGCCAGAGCGGACGTGCACAGACCGTGTCGGTACCGTTCCAGCTCTGGCACTCGTGCTGCCTCCCAGGACGACTGCATACATGTGAGAATGTCGCTTGGTTCTTGGACCGTATGCTCGACGCAACGTATCCACTCGTGAGGTTCTCTCGCCAGTTGTAGGTGGCACCCGTCTGAATGGTCGCGCTGGTTGAAGTGTGCACCAACTTGTTGTTGCTGGGGAGGGGGGGGGGCGGTGGCGTGGCGTACCCACTGTGGCGAGGCATGCCAAGAGGCCCGCAGCGCAACAGGCGAGGCATGCCAGAAGGCCTCCATGGCCAGTGCCGAACAGTGCGGAGCCGACCCCGCGTGCTCTCGCGTGTCTGTGCGACGCCACGGCTCCGCAACGAGCAATGGTGCAACACTGTGTGCCGCCATTCAGGCCGGCGGAAGCCAGGCGAGTGCAAAGGCCGGGCGCGCAGCGCAAATCCGCTGAGATGTGTCTGTCTCCCAGCCCCTTCCAACATTTTGTTCCGTGTCTTCCCTGACCCTTCCACCTTTTTTATCCCTGCACCGCGTGCACCCCGGCCCGCCCTCAGGCCGCCTGAGGCCCCGCCCGCCTGTGCTCTGTCTCCTCAATTAGAGCTTTGCGTAGCCCACCTAGCTTTTAACCGGAAGAGGCTCGCTCTCGACCCGCAGACCAAACAACAACAACAACAACAACAACAACAACAACAACAACAACAACAACAACAACAACAACAACAACAACAAAAAAGGCAGAGGAACCAAGGCAAGACATTGTAGGGAAACACTAGGGCCTTCGGTGGAATTCCCTGCGGGGGCCACGAAAAGTGTGACAGGTGTGCCGAAATGAGGGGGGAGCCGCACGCGACTCCCCCCCCGTGAGGGCTTCGGTGGAGGCCCCTGATGGAGGAGGGTTTCTCCGAAGGGCTTGGGCGACCCGTCCTCCTCCTCCTCCTCCTCCTCCTCCTCGTCCTCGTCCTCCTCGTCCTGCTCCTCCTCATCCTCCTCCTCCTCCTCCTCGTCCTGCTCCTCCTCCTCCTCCTCTCCTCCTCCTCCTCCTCCTCCTCCCTCCTTCTCCTCCTCCTCCTCCTCCTCCTCCTCCTCCTCCTCCGCGTCCTGCTCCTCCTCCTCCTCCTCCTCCTCCTCCTTCACCTCCTCCCCCTGTCTCCTCCTCCTCTCCTCCTCCTCCTCCTCCTCCTTCTCCTCCTCCTCCTCCTCCTCCTCCTCCTCCTCCTTGGGTCGCCTACGGCCCCGAGGGGAAACCGTCCGCCTTATGGGATCACGACACGTGCGAGGAGTGTGCCGAAATGGGCAAGAACCGCATACGAAACCTCCATAATGGGGCCGTCCGTGGAGCCCCATGTGGGGCCACGAAGTGTGTGAGGGGTGTTCCAACTGCGTAAGAACCACATACGAAACCTGTTCTGGGAGCTTCCTTGGAGCTCCCTGTGGGGCCGGGCCACGAAACGTGTGAGGGATATCCCAGAATGTGGAGAGAACCACATGCGAAACCCCCTTCCTGAGGGCTTCGGTGGAACTCCCAGTGGGGTCACGAAACGTATAAAAGGTGTACCGAAATGGGTATAAGACGCTTGCGAAACCTCCCTTCTGAAGGCTTCGGTGGGGCCCCCGTGTGGGGCCACGAAGCGTGTGACGGAATCGCATGGGAAACCCCCCTCTTGGAGGCTTCGGTAGAACTCCCTGCGGGGGCCATGAAACGTGTGACGAGTGCGCAAAATGGGTAAGAACAGCATGCGAAACCACCTTGCAGGGGGCTTCGGTGGAGCTCCCTGTGGAGCCACGAAAAGTGTAAGGGGGATGCCAAGATGGGTGGGGAAACGCATGCGACTCCCGGCTTCGATGGAAATTCTAGACGCTTCGCGTATCCCCACCAGCCCATCCAGAAACGACGCCCAGGCGCGTAGAGGGCCGTCCTGAGGGGCTTTTCGGCGTCTTGGGTGCCTCGGGGGGGCCTCTTTGGGGGCCTCCTGGGGGCCTCTTGGGGGCCTCTTGGGGCCATCTTGGGGCACTCTTGGGACCTCCTGGGCGCTTCTTGGGGCCATCTTGGAGGAGATCGATCACAGGAGGGGGGGGCACTAATTAGCGCCCCCCCCTCAGGAGGCCAAAATGGGGCCAAAACCGTGGTAAAATCAATGGTTTGGGCTTCCTCGCCGAGGACGTTTTGGACGCTCTGACACCTCCCCGCCCCTCCCGTCCAGGTCCACGGGGAGGGGGGAGGGGGAGGGGTAAACCCCTCCCCGAAGGGGAAGAGGGAGGGGTGGAAGAGGAAACGCCCTAAACCACCGACGCCCAGAGGGCTGGTGGGATTCCTACGGGGCCACGACACGTGTAATGGGTGTGCCTGCATGAGCATTCGGAGGACCGAGGCAAGGATTGGAGAAGGGCGGGGGAGGAGAGGAGAAGAGGGGAGGAAAGGAGACGCGGGGCGATGTCTCTTCTTAACGAGGACCCATCACCACAAGGTGGTTGGGAACAAGAACCCCCAAGGCAAAGCCCAACTAGGGACAGCATGTAGATTATCCCGGCGAAGGGCCCAACCATATACAGTTGTGAGTATCGTTGTTGTGGGTATCGCCCTCGGTGGATCCCTTTATAGGGACACGAAGCGCGTAAAGGGTGCGCCGAAGTGGGGCCGGGACGCATGCGGGCGCAGCCACTGGGGCCTTCGGTGGCGCTCCATATGGGGTGGCCACGAATCGTGTGAGGGGTGTGCCGAAATGGAGCGGGGCCGCCATTCGAACGTCGCCATTGGGGCCTTCGGTGGAGCTCCTTATGGGGCCACGAAACGATGTATTGTTTGGGGGGGATGCATGCAGACACCGCCACTGGGGCTTTCGGTGGAGCCCCCTATGGGGCCACGAAGCGCTGTACTGGGTGGGGGAGACGCATGCAGACACCGACACTGAGGCCTTCGGTGGAACTCCCAATGGGGCAACGACATGCTGTTTTAGGCGGGGGAGGCGCATGCGAACACCGCCACTGGGGCCTTCGGTGGCGCTCCCTATGGGGCCACGCAACGTTGCACTGTGGGAATCGCATGCGAACACCGCCAATGGGGACGTCGGTGGAGCTCCCTATGGGACCACGAAACGCTGTACTGGGTGTTGGTGCATTCGATGGAGCTCCATATAGGGGCAACGAATAGAGGAAACGCATGCGGACACTTTTTGCGTCGGCGGCTAGGCATCGGTCGTCTGCGCTGGCGGAAAGAAAAGAGCTACCCAAACGGGTGCACCGCTGTAGCGAATTAGGGAGCTGTGGGCGCATGCGGACACAGCCACTGGGGCGTTCGGTGGAGCTCCCCTCTGGGACCACGAAACGCTGCACGCGGTGTGGGGGAAACGCATGCGGACATTGCCATTTGTGCTTTCGGTGGTGCTCCCTGTGTGGCCACCAAACGTTGCACAGGGTGGGGGGAACGCATGCAGACACCGCCTTCGGTGGAGATGATATGGGGCCACGAAACGTTGTATTTGGGTTAGGGAAACGCATGCGGACACCGACCGCCACTCGTGCACTCGGTGGAGCTTTTGGGGGCCACGAAACGTTGTATTGTATGGGAAAACGCATGCAGGCACCGCCATTGGAGCCTTCGGCGGAGCTCCCTATGTGGCCACGAAACGATGTACGGTGGAGCTCCCTATGTAACCACGAAACGTGAGAAAAAGTGTCCTGAAGCAGAGGGGGACGGCATGCGAACCATGCCACTGCGACCTTCGGTGGAGCTCCCTATTGGGCCATGAAACGTGTGAGAGGTGTGCCAAAGTAGGAGAGGGAGCATGCGAACCATGCCACTGCGACCTTCGGTAGAGCTCCCTATTGGGCCATGAAACGTGTGAGGGGTGTGCCAAAGTAGGAGGGGGGCGGCATGCGAACCATGCCACTGGGGCCTTCGGTGGAGCTCCCTATTCGGCCACGAAACGTGTGAGGGGTGTGCCAAAGTGGAGGGTAGGTGGCATGCGAACCACGTCATTGGGGCCTTCGGCGGAGCTCCCTACGGGGCCACGAAGAGTCTGAGGGGTGTGCCAAAGTGGAGGGCAGAGCCAAGGGCAAGGGTGGGAGGAGGGAGAAGCGAGAGAAGGAGGAGGAAGAGGAGACGTGGGGACTGCCTCTTCAAAACGAGGGCCCAACACCACAGGATGGTTGGTAAAGATATGTCTTGAAATCCGACACGCTGAGAAACAGCATGTGGGGCAAAACCCGTCACGCTCGGGCCAGATTTGGGGAAAGAGGGGTACAGTAATCCTCTGGGAAGCTGTGGACGAGGGAGAACAGGAGGATGAGGAGGAGGGGAGGGAAGACAGGGAGCAGTGAGCCATGCAGGCGACTTCTCGCCCGACCGACGACTTCCCACGACGACCCCCCCACGACAACTCCCCACGACGACCCCCCCACGACAACCCCGACAGCCGCCACCCACTCCTGCACTCCTTCCACCTCCGCCGCCTTGTCGATGTTGCCGCCGTAATGTCCGTAGCCTCGTCGCGGGTGGCCCTTCTCTCCTGGTCCCTCTTTTGGCCCGTGTGTTTGCGATTGCTCCTCGCCTTCTTCTCCCTTTGCTCCCGGCTTGTTGTGTCCCTTTTGTCCTTTCCCGCTTGTTCGCCCCGCTGGTCCTGGCCTCTGCTCCCTCGCTCCCTTTCTCCATCTCCGTCGCTGCGCAGCACAGACTGCTGGTAGCCGGCGGCGGGCCCTGTTCTCCTTTCCTCGTCCTCCTTCCTCCTGCCCTGCCTCCTTCCCTCCTCCTTCTCATCCATCCACCCACTCACCCATCCATCCATCCATGAATTATCTTCCCCCATGCCCCCCCCTACTCCCCACCTCCTCCTCCTCCTCCTCTTCCTCCTCCTCCTCCTCCTCCTCCTCTTCCTCCTCATCCTCCTCATCCTCCCCATCCCTCTCCTCATCCTCCGCGTCCGCCTCCGCTTCCTCCTGTTATGCTTCCTCCTCCTCCTCATCCTCCTTCTCCTCCTCTTACTCCTCCTTCTCCTCATCATTATCCTCCTCCTCCTCCTTCTCCTTCCATCATTATCCTCCTCCTCTTCCTCCTCCTTTTCGTGCTTCACCTCCTCTCCTCATCCTCTTCCCCTCATTCCCCCAGAAACCCAATGAATTTCTTTACATATCATTGCGCCTTGAATTGCCCTCGGACGAGCTTTCGCCCTCCCCCCTCGTCCGCCCCACTCCTCTTCTTGCATTCCTCCTCCTTCTCCTCCTCCTCCTCCTCCTCCTCCCCCTCCTTCTCCATCCCTTTTCCTTATGTATAACTCCTCCCTGTCGCACCCCGAGGCCGGTCGGAAGGGCGGGCCGGGCGGGTCGCTGGATATTCGTTTGCCACTTATATGCCTGAAGCCGAAAGAAATTGACAGCAGCACAGATGGAGGGCGGGTCGCTTCCAAAATGTGGCTCTCGCCTTAGCGCCGCACATACTTGCAAGAGCTTCACGGATTGAGGGCGGGTGGTTTTCAAAACGTGGTTCTCGCGCTAGCGCCGCGCACAACACTCGTCTTCAAATTTGCAAGAGTTTCATTGGTTGAGGGCTGGTGGTTTTCAAAATGTGGGTCTCTCCGTAGTGCCGCGCACACTCGTATTAAGAATCCGCAAGAGCTTCACGGATTGAGGGCGGGTGGCGTTCAAAATGTCGGTCTCGCCCTAGCGCCGCGCACATTCGTTTTGAACATGTGCAAGAGCTTCACGGATTGAGGGCTGGTGGTTTCGAAATGAGGCTCGCTCCTTAGCGCCGCGCACATCCGTTTTTTATCGTTGCAACATGGATTGAGAGCGCGGGTCCGTTTCGAAGTATAGTTCCCGCCTCAGCGCCACGCACATGTGTTTTACACACTTTGCAAGAGATCCATGGGTTCCCATGGTCAACATGCCAGAAATAGTTTTCTGGAAGGACTCAGGGTTGTGAGGGCGCAAGGGTTCTTTTGATTCGCAGTGTTGAAGTCCCAGGACTGGTGTCCTGGCACGATTGAGGATCGTCAAGACGCAACAGACATGTTGATTTCGTGGCGTTGGAGTCCTGGGAATGGTGTGTTGGCACGATGCCGGATTTTCCCACGGTTGTCTCCCAACAAGGCAATTCCCGAAGTGGAAATGATGTTTTGCATGGGGCTTGTGAAGAGGGAGCTTGGAGGGAGGGTTTCTTCCAACATCGTTGATGAGTCTCGGGTTGGACCTCATCCTCTTATCCCCCTCATCCCGTACACCTCTTCCTGTATTCCTCCATCCACCTCCCATTGCTGATCGCTGCTCTGGCTCAGCGGGTTGCTCTTGGGCCGCCCTTGTGCTTCTGGGGGTGGCCAAGCCGCCGCCACCCAGGCGCAGCAGGAAGGCTCTTCCCTCCCCCCTCCATGGAGCCATGGCGAGCCTGGTCACGCTGGAGCGTCTGCTCGTCTGGAGCGCAACCTTCGCCATGATCCTCAGCTTCTCCTTCGCGGCGTTCCTCTGCGCGCGCTGCATGCTTTACCTCAGGAGACTTCACGGCCCCTCGAGTCGAGCTTCGGGCCCCCATGAGGATGCAAAATTCCAAAGTCGAGCGTTTTATCTCCATTAAGTCCATTGGTATGGTTTCCTTCACCTCGGACGTTTACGATCCTCTGAGCTTCTCGGAGGTGGGAGAATTTGCCATTTGCCTCAGCCTTGCTGCAGGCAGTATTCCCCAAATGGCGCACCGAATGGGAGTATCATGTGTTTTGTTTAAAGGAGTGTTGTCTGGAGTCACCTGTCAAACCCGGGCGCCAGTTCGTCGCTTATGTTGGTTATGTGTTGTTTGCGTTGTTTGGGTTTGTGATGAATGGCATTCGTTTTTGTGCGCGCTGTTGGGCCATGCTCTAACATGCGATGGTGTGCCATACTATTCGACGCAATGTCATAATATATCGCCCCCGCAACTATGAACGCCAGGGAGCGCCTACGGTTGCGCCTGGGAGCGCCGGGGAGCGCCTAAGGGCCTCAGGTGTCCTCAGGATCCCGTTGGTTTCCGACGGGTCTATGAGGGTCCCCCATGTGTCCTCCAGATTTCTTTTGATTTTTCGCGATTGCCAAGGAATCCTATGAATCCCTAGGGGTTCCCCAGGTTTCCTGAATGTCCCGCAGGAGTCTGCACGATTCCATCAGACAAGATTCCCGAGGATTCCCTGTGCAAACAGAGTGCGGTCAACCCTACCATTAGCATTAGTACTACCATTACTACTACTACTACTACTACTACTACTACTACTACTACTACTACTACTACTACTACTACTACTACTACTACGACTACTACTACTACTACTACTACTACTACTACTACTACTACTACTACTCCTGCTACTACTACTCCTGCTACTACTACTACTACTACTACTACTACTACTACTAATAATAATAATAATACTACGATTACTACTACTCCTACTATTTCTACTACTACTACTACTACTACTACTACTACTACTACTACTACTACTACTACCTACTACTACTACGCGTGCTCACAACAACAACGACTACTACTATTACTACTACTACGACTACTACTACTACTACTACTACTACTACTACTACTACGACGACTACTACTACTACTACTACTACTACTACTACTACTACTACTACTATTACTTCTACTACTAATACTACTACTACTACTACTACTACTACTACTACTACTACTACTACTACTACTACTACTACTACTACTACTACTACTACTACTACTACTACTACTACTACTACTACTACTACTACTACTACTACTACTACTACTACTACGACGACTACTACTACTACTGCGACTATTATTACTACTACTACTACTACGACGGCGACGACCGCGATTACTACTACTATTTCGATGACTACTACGACTACTACTACTACTGCGACTATTACTACTACTACTACTACTACTACTACTACTACTACTACTACTACTACTATCACTACTACTACTAGTACGACTACTACTACTACTACTAACTACTACACGACACTACTACTACTACCTAGCTACTACTGCTAACTACTACTACTTCTTCTAATACAACTGCTACTACTACTACTACTACTACTACTACTACTACTACTACTACTACTACTACTACTACTACTACTATTACTACTACTACTACTACTACTACTACTACTACTACTACTACTACTACTATAACTACTACTACTACTACTACTACTACGACTGCTACTGCTACTGTTATTACTACCACTAGTACTATTACAACTACTACTAGTACTAGTACTACGACTACTACTACTACTACTACTACTACTACTACTACTACTACTACTACTACTGCTACTGCTACGACTACTACTACCACTACTACTACTACTACTACTACCACTACTACTACTACTACTACTACTACTACTACTACTACTACTACTACTACTACTACTAGTACTACTACTACTACTACTACAACTACTACTACTACTACCACTACTACTACTACAACAACTACTACTACTACTACTACTACTATTACTTACTACTACTACTACTACTACTACTACTACTACTACTACTACTACTACTACTACGATT